AGCCGCCCCTGGTGTTGCCATTTGTAGGGGAAGCTGGTGAGCCGCCCCTACAAATGCTCCACGTATAAATACTTGGGATTTGTAGGGGCGGCTCAATCACCAGCCGCCCCTACAAATCTCCGTTGTATAAATGGCTGCAGCCCCCTTCTTCTTCCTCGGGTCACTCACTCCAATACGTAAAAGAAAGGTGGGGAGGTCTTGGGCATCTCCCAAAAATTGCTCTACTAAGGAGGAAAGGTTTTGGTCTCAAATCTTTTGGTGGAGAGGTTGTAGAAGGTAAGAAAATGATATTCCACACTTTTTTTGAAGTTTTAATGGTTGGTTAGTGAGTAATTAGAGTTTTGTTTTTGTCTCTCTTCTATGGTGTTTGAGCTACTTATGAAGCAAATTAGATCCAAGTTTTGAATGTACTAGGGTAAATTAGGTAGGGGAACAAGATCATACCCTTATTTGATCCATGTTTCTTGATTTTAGTGAACAATTAGTTAGTTTTATGGATGTTTCATGTGCATGTAGATCTAGATCTAGGGTTTGGTTTTTTTATTAATTTCGTTTTTATAAATTTATGTTTGATGAAATTGGACTAGGGTTTGCATGAAAAATATTGAGTAAAATATAGTTGTTGTCTTTGAAATTGTTTATTGTAATCAATAAATATGTATTTTAATTATTTATGGATAAATAGGCCATTAATTAATTTTCCTCTACCATGGTGTGTTTGTATGCTTCATGTAATTATATTTGATTTATATTCATATATATCTAAAGTATATACAATTATTCTCAAGTAATTATTAATTTGATTTATTTATATATATATTTGAATAAGTAGTCTTTTAATGTTTGTTTTGTTGTTGTTGTAAAAGATGGAGTACATGAACTATTGGATATATGGTTCGTTAAGGTTCAAGGTAGGTTTTCGTGAAGAGGTGGATAAATTTATTGAAGCTACAAAGAAGCATGCAACGACGTTGACAGAGAATAAGGATACAATTATTTGTCCATGTAAAGATTGCAAGAACCGTATAGCATGGACATATGTGACTATCATCAGATCATATTTGATTATGTGAGGATTTGTTGAGGACTATATAGTGTGGATTCATCATGATAAAATGATTATTGTTAACGACGAGGATGAGGAGGAATACGATGATGAAACCCTAGAATTCCTGTTTCCCAATATTCAGCAGAGCTTGATGCACGAATGGATTTTGAGTTTGGCAATGAAACAAGGTGGTGATGCTGGTGGTTGGGATGGTAACGACGAAGGTGGTGTCAATAATGATGGTGGAGCACGTGTCGGGGATGAAGATGATTTGGAGGATATAGTTCGAGCCTTTGGACTAGAGATTTTACTAAAGAGCTCGAAAAGTCTAAAAAATTTGGAAATTGTGACAAAAGCATCGAAGGAGACTGTGTATGGTGTTGAAAAGGGCTGTCCGACACATTGGACATTGCTACGTTTTGATGCTTGAACTACTCATCCTAAAGGCTAAGTACGGCTGGTCATATTGTAGTTTTAATGATCTATTGCATCTCCTGTCATGGGTGCTGCAACAACCAAACTCAGTTTCCGCCAACACATACCAAGCGAAGAAGGTCATAAGTCCATTGACAATGGGGTTGAAAAAAATCCATGCATGCCCCAACCACTGTATACTTTTTCATGGCGAAACTTTCAAGTCACTAGATAAATGTCCCGGGACCAGCCGATACAAGAACAATGACTTTTACGATGGGGATGAAGCCTCCACGGGGAAAAAGAGGAATAAGAATGGTACAAAAAAGATGGTACAAGAATCTCAGCCCCCAGAGGACACTCCATTAGGCAATGATGCAAAGCAGAGAAGAATTCCTGCCTTGGTAATGTGGTACCTGCCACTGACCAATCGCTTGAGACGTATCTTCCTAAACCCTAAAGAAGCCGCACTCATGACATTTTCATTTTAGGTTATTTAATGTCCTAAAATTATAGTCGAAGTTTTAAAATTCAAATTTTCAATTTTTGATTTTTTTGTTTTCTATATTGTTTTGAATATCAGCAAATTGTTTTTATATATATTTGTGCATATATAGAATAATACAAAATATTATATAGAATAATACAAAATAATACAAAATATATATAATAATACAAAATATTATATAAAATTCAAATATTACTTTGTGTTTTTGTGATATAAAAAATACAGAATTTATAATTTCATAAAATAGAAAATATTTGTAGGGGCGGCTAGATCATGAATCACCCCTACAAATCGTCCTGGGTATATAAGCACGGGCACTCGGGTGAACAAGTGTTGGGTGCTCTCTTCTTCCTCCCGACGCCGTTAGGCTGCCCAACTTTTTCCCCGGTGCCCCGCCGCCGCCGCCTCCCGGACCTCTCCTGACGCCGGCGCCCTTCTCCGCACCCCCAGCACACAGCTTGACATCCCTAGGCCGCCACGACGCTGCGCGCCCCATCTCCACGGCGGCTAGGGTTTTAGAGCCCCGACCGACCGACCCGCTGCCTCCTCCCCATCTCCGTGCCGTCCACATCCACGACCCGGTCCGCCACCTTCTCGTTTCCGACCTTGAGGTGCCGCGGGCCTGCTCCCCGCCCTCCCGTGGTCCAGGTGCTCATGCGCTCTGGCGTCCGTGCTCCCTCCCCCGGCGAGCGGCCACGGTGCCCGAGCTCTCCGGCTTCCATGCTCCTTCCCTAGCGTCCACCGGCGTCCGCGCAGCTCCACCGGCGTCCGCGCTCCTCCACAGCAAATTGGTAAGGTATAGCAATATTTCTTTTTTTTTTGCTACTGCTTCAATCTGTTATATAGAATCATAACTGTTGTCTCTAAACCAATCTGTAGACATCAATGTAACTTGGGAGGACCAATTCTTTAGTTAGTTTTATGCCTCTCACCCTCTCAGAAAGGAAAACGTTGTTAACTTTTTTAGTAGCTCTAGTTTTCTGCATCAATGTAACTTGGGAGGACCAATTCTTTAGTTAGTTTTATGCCTCTCACCCTCTCAGAAAGGAAAACGTTGTTAACTTTTTTAGTAGCTCTAGTTTTCTGTTGCCATTATTTTTCCTGGCTGAATGAGCATGTTTGCCTTATTAGTAGTTTTGGGGCCTCTACCACCAGCCTCTTTAGGCTTGCTTGACAGATAAATTTTTCCACCGAATTATGGGTCAGCAGCTAAAAAATTATTTGTGCAAGAATTTTTACTTTTTGCAATTATGGGTGAGCAGCTAAAAAATTATCAAATTCTTATCCATTCTATAGAACAAACTGTGCATTTGGTTGTGGTGTGCATGCTGTTTTTAGATTTCAGTGTTGTATGGACTTTGAACCAACTTGAATTTAGTAGCTGACCAGCTGTCATGATTATGCCAAATAATTAAGGTTATTTATTCAATGATGACAAATTAACACCCTATTCTAAACTGGGGCCGTGTGTGGCTCATCTTTTATTTTCAGATTGAGAAGTCATTTTGTAATTATGTTTGATTATGAGTTTTGGTAGCTATTCCATGTAAAATGATTATGCAAACTGGTTGGTTTTGTGTTGTTTTCTACGCTATATTCTTGTCTCTATCTAATTTTGTAGAAATTTACGGTATCTAATTTTGCAATTATATTCTTGTCTCTATCTAATTTTGTAGAAGTCATTTTACAATTCCTTTTCGCCTAAAGTCTCTCTTTCTCTTTCTGTCCATATGTCCGTCACTTACTTTTGCTTTGAGTCTGTCCACCCCTCATTATATTCCCCTTGGTCCCTCAGACTCGCTTCCACTGAGTTTCGAGCTGAAAAACCTTTGCTGGTGCCCCACCACTCATGTCATGACATGGCAGTCCGAGTCCATGTGTGTTGTGGTGCTTGTGTGGGCGTGTGGCTCTGTCTTCGACCTTCCTCAAACTCACAACTAGTGCACACTTACTCTCACTCTTGCTTTGAATACACCATCCATCCCTCATTTCTCTTTCCATGTAGATCAAGAGCCATCTGACTGACTCAGCAATCAGGCAGCTAGTGGCGTGCTACAATACATCCCTCAAACAATTTGGTGCCAAGTCAGCCATGGAACCCATTTACGGCCAGCCGTTCGAATCTTTGGGTTCATGGGCTCCTCAGTTAGATGATGGTTTGTTTGCTAGTAGGCTTTATGCGGGTATTCCTAGTAGCCAGTCTCTTAGCTGTTCCTTCTTACATTAGAAGGTCTTGGGGCTGTTTCAGCTGCAGAACATATATACAAATAAAATGTCTCTGTAAGAAATGCAAGACAGTTCAAGAAAGAAATGATCCAGATTGTTAATTGGTTAATATTATCTACAGAAATCTGTTCATCTCAAACTGTAGATCATGTACAGACCATCCATGAACCACAAAATGGACACACTACAAAACTAACGTGTGCACAAATCTATTACACCTGGATTAGTAGCCTCACAATACGGTTACTTGAACAAAAATCCAGATTGTTTAGCTAACCAATATCATCTAGAGAAAGCTGTTCATCTCAAACTATCTATCATGTACACAGATCCCGATAGCTTAAACTTAATCATTGACCATCCATGAACCACGAAATGGAACACTGTAAAAGTAAATTGTGTACAGCTCCATATATCTTAACTTAGGTAGTTCATTTAATGATTACTCAAAAACCAAAATCTTGCTAAGGAAAGCAAGATGAAGTAACCTCAACAGATGGTCTCTAAGAGTATCCGTCAATATTGCTGCATAACCACAAGCACAATACATCTGGTTGGCAGTATTATAGTGATGCTAACATAGTTTTAAAAGTTTTCATAAATCATAAGCAGCAACATGCCTATGCTTCTTCTGTTGGCAAACCAATACTTCAAATAGATGAATTAGGGCAAGGATATCAACGTCCTATGATACACATTGACCATAATTTCCATGATACGCCACAGTAAAAAAATTAGGGGAAAGGACATCGACAGTCTGACCGTAATTTCCCTAATATGCCATAGTAATGAATATCATGTATGTTAGAATATCATCTGAACTTTCCCTTCAACATTCTCCAGTTCAGTTTTCAAGGCCAAGAGTTCAGATTCAAGATCCGATATTCTCGCTGAGGACTGCTGGTTCTCATGGTCATGGAGGGTAGCATCTTTCTCAGTGTTTATAAGTAGGATGGTGTTGTTAAGTTCAGATGACAAGTTCTCCAACTCATTTAACTTGCCATTCTGCTTCTCAATCTCTATCTGCAACGTACTAACGTCTTCCTGTGACTGGGAATACATTTTCTCCAATGACACAAGCGATGTTTGGGCTTGTAGCCTCTTCTCACATTCATCTTTCAAACTTATCTCCAGGCTGTCGACACTTTCATTCTTCCGTGCAATTTCTTGCTCCAATAAGAGAATTTTTTGTTCAGACTTCTCCATTTCCAACTGCATCTTTGAGAGTTCTAACTCCAAATCAGATACTTTCTCTAGAGACTGCTGTTGCTGAAGGAGTGCTGCATCCTTCTCCGAGTTCAAACCTAAAATGGTGTTCTTCAGTTCTTTCAGTGTGCTCTCCAGGTCTAACTTATTATTTTCCAGCTCACTAAGCTTCTTTTTTGATCCATCAAGATCTTGTGTCAGCGTTCTCATTTCTTCTTGCAACTGGGAATGCAGACCCTCTGTCATGAGAAGAGTTGCTTCAATTTGCATACGCCTATGGCATTCATCTTGCAGCTTGAAATGGACACTGTCCGCTTCTTCTTTCTTCTTTTCAAGATCTTGTGTCAGCAACTGTACTTTCTGCTCAGTCTCATCTAGCTCTGACTGCAGCTTTGACAGCTGAGATTCGAGTACCGAAACCTGCTCCACAGATTGCTGGTGTTGAAGCACAGCTGCATTCTTCTCAGTGTTTAGCTGTGAAATGATGCTCTTAAGGCTTTGTATTTCACTTTGAAGTTCATTCTTTGAATCCTTGAGTGTATTTATCTCGTCACCAAGTTTCTGTATAAGCACCTCAGAGGACTGGTTTTGTTCTGTAAGGCGCTCAACATCCTTCTTCAGCTCATAAACAGTGTCCTCAAGGACCTCCTTGGTCTGCTTGAGCTCATTCAACTTTTCATTCGCTGCCTTTATTTCTATAGCCAACCTCTGTACTTCTTCATGAGATTGAGCAAGTTCCTTCCCCTGGGAAAGTAGAGCACTTTCAGCCTGCATGCGCTTGAGCGGAAACTCTCCAATTCCTTAAGCTTTTGTTCTAGTTCTTTTGCTGCATCTTCATCTTCTGATCCAAACCCTCAGCCTCAGACTGTATTGTGCAAGTACAGCAGCCTGCTGTCTAGTACAGATGGTGTAGTTATTCAAATATGTCCTTTCTCTACTCTACTTCAATGCTGTAAAAGAGGTTTGCAGTATGCCACTGAAGTATCTGTAGTAAAATAAAATGTAAATAATATTTGTCCGCCTTAGAATCTTCCTAGCTTGTGTGCACGGAAGCAGCTGTTGTTTTTTTTGCCACATTTTCTATCTTCTATGTTTAGGAAGCAGCAACTGCTTTTTTTACACCTTTTCCTCTCTATGTTTGTTAAGCAGCTATTGTTTTTTTTTGCCAAATCTCCCCTCTCTTCTCCTCTCCTTTGTTTTGCCGATGATGAAATTGTCTAAGTGCATACATTATATGGAATATCAGCTGATGATTAAGAACTTGTGAGGAACTTGGCATCATTACTAGCCGCCTCTACATTATCTTCTCCTCTGTTCTGTGTTATGATGCCTTGATGCTCCAAGTTCATGATCAAATGATGAGTGACATGTTTCTGAGGCCTCTACTACTGCTACTACTCATTTTTTGATATATTGTTTTTTATAGGACTACTTTGGTTTATAGACCTTTTTGATTTCTTATACCTTCTCGCGTACCTAAAGCACACTTTCTTGCATCTATTAGAACAAAGCGCGAAATAATATCGCGGATACTAGACAGTGCAGCCCAATGCCCCGAGCATGATGAGCAGCCAACCTATGAGGAGCAAGCACTAGAGGACCAGCTTACTCAGGAGCAGTTCGATAACGAGTTAAAAAAGGATCTAGAAGTGATGCTTACTCAGGAGCAGTGTGACGAGGAGGAAGGGGGAGCAGACGGAAGAGCAGGAGAGGCTCCTGAAGGCGAAGAAGAAGAAGATGATGATGATGAGGACTCAGAAGAGGGATATGTAAGTCCCGAGGATCCTTTCCCACGTGAAGCCAGAAGGAGGCCAACGGAGGAAGATTTGAACAATGATTTTGACCCGAACGAGGAGGTAGAAAAAAAGCCTTAGCTTGTAAATTTTGCTAAATCTTTGATTGTGTTACCTCTACTAACACTTTGACCTGTCGTATATACAGGTCCCTCCTGAAACTCGGAAAAGACGACGTCGACGTCTACGACATCTCGCTAAACAAGACGGAGTAGAGGAAAGGAGAGCAAAGGCAACAGCCACAGAGACGGACATTGAGGCCTCTGCTCCACAACCTCAAGACACAACCACAACTACCAAGCCTAAGAGGAAATGAGGGGATAGAAAAGCAAATCAATATCCAGATAAGGCATGCTATTTGATAACGGAGGTCGGGCCAGCAGGGGAGATCCTTGAGCTGAAGGAATTAAGAGGACGATTCTGTAATGCGATCGGGGCCCTAGTAAGAGATAAATTGAACCCAGCAATCCCTAACTGGAAAGATATATCAGAGAAGAAAAATGATGAACTATGGGATAGGCAGCTGAAGCTCAATTTTAGATTTCCGGAGGATAAGCACGAACCGGTAAAAAAATACTTTCAGGATGATGGGAGAGTCATTCCGACGTTGGAGGTCGGAGCTCAACAAGAAGTATATCCAAAATGGGTTAACTCCCTTCAACGAGTTCGGCAACATAACTCCTAGACAATGGGAGGAGCTCATGGCTTAGAAGACTTCACCGGAGGCATTGGAGCTCAGTGCCCGTAACACTGAGCTGGCGAAGAGGAACAAACACCACCATCATCTAGGCCCCAGTGGCTACTATGCCAAGGAAGAGCAGTTTAGGAAGATGAACGAAGAGGCCACAGCTACTGGGAATATCGATGTGACGAATTTGAAGGTACGCTCAAGGAATTGGATATATGCGAGGAGTACAGAATCATCCGGCGGTAATCTTAAGTTTGATAAGCTAGAGACCCAAGAGGCAGTATCAAGGATACTGAAATATGCTGAAGACAAGGAGAAGGGCTCATTCAATCCTTCCAGAGAGAGGGACGAGCTTAGCCTTGGCTTGAAAAACAAGGAGCACACAGGCCGCACCGTGGGCTAGGGAAAAGGACGACCTGGAAGCAAGGATTCGAAGAGGACAGGCACATGTACAAAAAACATAGCAGAGACCGGGAGACTAATCTTGAACTCCAAGTGAAGGCTCTAGTTGCGAAGGCGCTGGAGGAGTAAGGACTGTCTACGGAGCCACGGATATTAATGACGCCACCAGGAGAACTGGCATTAGTTGTTAGCCCTCGAAAGTTCCTAGCAGCCAAGGTTCCACTACAGCCACAACCCTCGTCGATCGCATACGGAAACCAACTAGTTGCACCTTGGTGTTTCTCAGTGGCCGGTAGAACATTGTGATGGAGGTGGCAATAGGTGTGGCACATCCTCCCGGTGGCTTACACCACAATAATAAGATATCGCCGGACTACACTAGGGTCGAGGTGCATACCGTGAAGCCTGAGTTCATGCAGTGGAGGATAGACTACGCAACTCCCGAGGGGATGGTGTTACTCAGAGACGTAATGGGGCAGTTCATCCTCTGGCACAAACGAGACATTATATTGACTGCTTCTTCGCCGCATCCCCCTCTCTCAAATTTGGAGCGAGTTGTTGAGGTCGGGGAGATATTTTCCCTGTCTCGTGACCACCACATTCCTGAGATGCCACATTCTTCCCTGCCTCCTAGCGAGCATGTGCCTGATAAGCCACAACCTTCTCCAGCTCGTACTGATCAAGTGCATGATGAGATGCCACAGTCTTCTCAACAAGCACAGCCGATACATGAACAATGAGTGCCTCCTGAAGAAGGTGATGCACAAGAAGATGAGGACGTGCCTGAATGGGAACTTCGAAAGAAGCATCCAATCACCATAAGACCAATTTATGTTTCGATGAAAGACGTCTCGTTGGTGCACAAGTGGTATTCCCATGACTAGTTCAAGCCTGAGAACCAAGTTAAAAAAGTCCCATCACGGGCTTCTGAGGAGGCCGTCACTAGCAAACTCCACCAAACAACAAAGCAATATCCAAATGTTGATGCCATCAAATGGTCAAAGGATTGCCCGAAAACATATGAAAGAGGCAAGCCCTTCCTACCAAACTGGGGACATCCAGCGCCTACCACTTGGAATGAGAAGGTTCCATGATTGGTACTTGCGTGTTCTCTCAATGAGCATAGACCTCGTACAAGCATGCTTCCCCACCGACATATTTGGAAGCCTAGCCGGGAAAATTATCTTTGACTTCAATGACATATAGACATGCTTTCACCTCAGAGCAATGTAGATGAATCTAATTCGCACGTGGTGTCTGTAAGTCCTTGTCCTCCAGAAATGATATGAATGTAATCTTTGAATTTTGTTGTAACTAATCCACGTCGTGATTTGTAGAATACAAGTGCACATTGTAAAACAAATGCCAAGTGTGAAAGCCGGGTATATAGACTCTCAAGCTATAGCACAAACAAATTTTAATTACCCTAAACAGTGAGAGACTGGATGACAAAGAGCTAGCTGTTGGAAAGACCCTTTGGGAGAAAGAGCACATCCGTACGAAGAAACTAAGGGAAGAGTCCCTTAAGGTTTCGGCATACATTGCCCTGGCTTTTAAAATTCTCCAACAACACTCTACTATATGGCTACCATACAACTTCGAGTAAGTTCAACTCGATAGTTAAAGCTTTGTTCGATATATTTTATTCAATGCAAAAGAGCTTATCTAGTTCTATGATTAAATCCATGCAGTAACCACTGGATTTGTATAGGCGTCGATGTCGGGAGGAGCATGGCATGGGTCTTTGATTCAATAGATAGGGACCCGGTGACATACAAAGACTTCATATCGATTCTCAAGACGTATACATATCGACAATCCTCATTAGCTTATATGTTTGTATACATACTTGTAACGTTCACTTTTGGATACTAACAAGTTGTATTTGCTAAAATAATTCGAACAGTGCATTTATGTTCTATGTCATTAAACATCACGAAAGGCATGATCCAGTAAGGAAGGAAAAGCTGGTTATAAAAATACTATGTGCGGTAAGTGTAACTTACTTCTTTAGTGCTATATTACATGGATGTCAAAAGCATTACTTAACATTTTTATATGCAAAACACACAGTGCCCCAAGTAGAAGCCTAGGAGTGTACATTGTGGATACTATGTATGTTCTATGATGAGTAACACCGGTGCCTACAGGAGACACTCCTTAAGGGTAAGTTTGAATCTCTTCAACCGTAGTATAAAAACTTCGTACATGGTATGAAATACTAAACCGAAACTTGTTTTCTTGTAGTGGAAAGAAGAGAAAGAAATGAAAAGAGACCCATACAAGGATGACCATCTCTTAGAGCTCGTCGGCGACCTTTGCAACTTCATATTGGACCAGATTGTACACGTCAAAGGCACCTACCATGACCGAGAGTCTGACTTAGGTAGAAATCCTCAATACCAACACCTTCGTGAGACTGAAAGGCTAGCACTAGGACGTTGATAACAATGTGTATGGAATTTGACATTGGTTTTACCTTGTGAATTATGTCTATTTAACGATGGATTGTATATATTCTTGTGAATTGGACTTATAATTGTAGTGTATGGACTCTTGTGAATTTGAACCTTGTGAATTATGTCTATTTAATGTGTATGGACTCTTGTGCTTGTAGTTTATATAATACTCTTGCGAACGCGGTTCGGAATGTTGGTCACGGGGCGTTCAGCGAGATGTTGAGCGAACGCGGTTCGAACGTTGATCGCTCACTCGCAACGCGAATGCGGGAATACGCGAAACACAACAGGGCGGTTTTGGTCGAATTTGAATTGTAAATTTGAATATTTTTTGGCGAAAAAACATACTGTAGGAGTGGTTCTAGATTGAACCACTCCTACAAACAGGTATTATAGGGGCGGCTGGTACTACAGCCGTCCCTACAAATCGAT